GACTCGCCAGGTCACCGTCTCGCGGGACGTAATTCCTAAACGCGATCGCCGTCGTCCCCGTCGTCGCCCCCGCACCGTCCGCGTCCGTCGCTCCGTCCGCGCGCGTCGTCTCGGCGCGCGCGCGCAGGGCGGCGAGCCGGGCGCGGCGCGCGTCCGCGGTGTCGTCCATCGCGCGTCGTGCGATGGCGGGGCTTTACATTAATTAATTCGTGCCCACGTCAGACCCGCGCGCCACCGGTCGACGCGTCGCCGGACGCGCGCGCCGCGCGACCGATCGCGCGCGCGGGCGCTTCGCGTGGTCCGACGCGGCGCGCGAGCGCGAGAGAGAGCGCGGTGCGCGTGCGCGAAACCCCCGCGGGGGGACGCTCGGAGTGATGGCCGCGGACGCCGCGAGCGTCGACGCGGCGATCGACGCGGTGCGAACGGAGTACGAGCGGTTGCTGCGACGCACGCGCGCGGTGCATGAGATGAAAATCACGGTGAAACGGGCGGCGGTGGCGCGCGCGAGGCGTCAGGGCGACGCGCGGGCGGACGCGCTGGAGGCGGAGGCGGAGGCGGCGGAGGCGGAGCGAGACGCGGCGATCGACGAGCTCGAGCGAGAGATGGAGCGGGAGATCGTCCGGGCGAAGACGGCGGTGCGTGAGGAAATAGACGAGGAGGTGATGCGGAGAGAGGCGATCGAGCGACATTTGGAGGAGGAACGGCGCCGCGCGGCGGAGGCGGAGGCGGGCGCGGGACCGGAGGCGTTGCGGTCGCAATTGGGCGTCGAGGAGCAGGACACGTACGAAGACGCGGATGATCACAGGACGACTTCGCCAGAGGGGACACCGAGGCCGATCGAGGGGACGAGTGGCGAGGTCAAAGGTAACCGAGCCAACGCGTTTCAACGACTGAAGACGACGCTTCATAGGAAAACGAGCGGCGGCACAGATGAGTCAGAGAAAGCGCTCGACGAGGAGATGAGAGAACCGGCGGTGGCGGAAGAGGCGACAATTCATACGAAGACACCGAGCGTCACCATGGCGGCGCTCGCGCCTAAACCGGTGCCAATGATGTCCATGTCTCAGCTCGCGCCAAAGCCAATTGAGCAGGCACCAAAGTCCACGCAGGCTTCCGATCCACTCAAAGATATGGTGCAGCGTCTGCAGTCTTCGAAAGTTGGACCAATGGAGAACCGTGTGACGTCGGCACCGAGAGAGCGAGTGGAGAAGAACGAGACTATCGTGAGCGCAACAGCGACAAAAGTGCCTCGAGCATTTCACGAGCCAATGTCAACAAGAACTGTCGCGGCGAAGGAGCGCTCGAGCGACCCGTTCGCACCACCTCGAGGATTGAGCGCCGCAGTCAAAGCGTTGGTCGGTAGGGAGAATCCGTCCGAGCGTACGAGGACGATCGAGGACGCTTTCGGGATGCCACAGGCGACGTACAGAGCCCCGGCGCTCGCGACTTTTCCGGAGACTCCGCGAGTGAACGCTGACGTCTTCGCCCCGGAACCTCAGTCGGCGCCGATACCAGCAGCGCCGGTACACGTAGAGCCGAATCCGTACGTAATGTCTGCTAGGGATTTGCAACCGAGGAAACGCGTGGGAATGCCCAAACCAAGTCAAGGATTGGGATTGGACCACGGCGCTACTCGAGCGCCAGCTGCACCAGACGTGGGACCGACCAAGACGGAGGTTGGAGCTCAGAAGCGTGATCGTGGTCTAGCACTGTTGCCGCCAAATGAGTTCCCAGCGCCCGATTCACCGGTTTCGGATTCCGCCACAGCCGTGGTCCTCAAGCCTAAAATTCCTCGAGGAATGGTTCCGCACCAACCCTTCAAGGTCTCAGAGATTCGAAACATATTTTCCTACGCCCGTCACGGGCGTTACGACGAGATGAAAAAGCTGATCGTCAAAGGCGTTCCTCTGGACGCAAGAGACGAGCATGGGAACACACCGCTCATCATCGCGAGCCAGAACGGTCAAGGACGATGCGTAAAACTCCTCATCCGAAGTGGCGCCGATCCCAACGCACAGAACAAGCGCGGGAACACCGCTCTGCACTTTACCCTTCACTTTCGCTTCGATGCCATCTCCGATTTCATCCAAAAACACGGCGGGATGACAAACATACGAAACTTTGATGGCGCGACATGTTTCGAGTTCGTCGGGTAGGGGAAAACGAACATCGAGCACAATCCCGTTTGTGGTGAAACCACCTCGGTCGTCGCGCGAACCTACGTAGTGACCCGCAATTATGGTATTTCTCAATGTCTTGTACAAGTACTCATGCCTTGACGCTTCGATACTGAGCGCTCGATTGTCCACCAACCCGCAGCGTGCGTTGCGTCGCGTCAGCCCTTGAGACCTTCAACCGGCCAAACTCGTCCTTCACTCCCCTACGCGCGCGTCAACATCGCCGACGCGCGCGTTGTACCTCAGAGTCACCGATAACGTCCCTCTGAACCGAGCCAGTGCTCATGCCGACGACGCGTAGAGCCAATAAAGCGCTCAGCGGCGACGAAAATGTGCGGTCTAACGGCGCGTCCGCGAAGACCGTGCCCGTGCGCGCCCGAGGCCCGTTCGTTCTCCCCGGCGCGGACGACGACGATGATCGCCACTCGAAGCCGTGCCCGGCGTGGACGTGCAGGGTGTGCTCGATCGAGGACACACCGGAGTGGATGATTTGGAACAGACACGTGCGGAGCGGCTACCGGGTTGGCTTCGGCTGGCGCGGCGCCACTGCGAGCGTGTTTAAGTGGCACAACGACACGGTGAACATATGGAGTCATTTAATCGGGATGGTGATGTTCGTCGCGCTGATCGTGCGGACGTTTCAGACGACGCACGCCGGGGTGGGATTGTCGGCGCCGCCGGACTATTGGGTAACGGGTGCGGACGTGGCGCGCGTGGAGAGGATTCAGTACGCCACGCGATGGAGACAGGACATACCGGCGAGATAGAGATGATTTACGCGCGATCGACGTGGATCTACACGAGAAAGTTTTGAAGGGGAGCGCCGCAGGTCACGCTGTGCACGACGTCGCGCACGAGTTGCTCAACGTAACTCACGAGCTCGCGGAGCACTTGGAGACCGGCGAGGAAGCTTTCAAGGTGGATAAGCGCCGAATGATTCTTAGACGATCGCTCATTAAAACGCAAAAGGTACTCACGGCGCTCGAGCGATCGGGCGGTGATGACTTCAGTGCATTTGCCGAGCAGTGCAGAAAATTGAGGACCAAGTTGAAGCAGCTTCAGCAACATATTGAACACGTGCCGGACGATCCTGAGCCCGTGAAGCCGGTCGCACGATGGCCAATGTATCTGTTCTTAGCCGGAGCGGTGTTGTGTCTATCCTTGAGCGCGGTGTGTCACACGTATTGCTGCGTTGGAAAGGTTGAATCGGAACAGATGTGGCGGCTCGACTACTTCGGCATCGCGGTATTGATTGTTTCCAGTTTCTATCCGATCGTTCATTATCAGTATTACTGCCTGCCGGGTTTCAGATTCTTTTACCTGACGGGGGTCACCACATTAGGGTGCCTCGCATTGATCCCTACTTACCTCAAGGCTTTCCAAAAGGTGGAATATGCGCATCTGCGCGCAACGCTCTTCGTTGCCTTGGGTAGCTTTGGAATTTTCCCTATTTTTCAGCAGGTTTTTTTCGTTTGGCGCATCACCCCGACTCCGGTCATGGAAGCTTTTCGTTGGGAAATGGCCATGGCGGTGGGTTACATTTCGGGTGCGGCTTTGTACGGGTTGCAAATTCCCGAGCGCTTCCGTCCGGGATCGTTTGATCACTTTGGCTGCAGTCACAATATTTTCCATTTCTTGGTGGTTTCCTCGGCGTGGTTCCACTACAGAGCGAGTATGATCTATCTCACCTGGCGTGACAACTACACGTGCGAGGCCGATCATGAGTTGCTTCTCGACTGGTATCACCTGGGATCCCACTTCAAATATCCGTCTCATTAGTCACTAGCATCTGTCCCGTCGTTGACAAGTTGTCACATACTTAAGCAGAAGACGCTCTCCCGTACGATTCCGCGGCGCGCATGAGTGATCGCATTCGAACGGTGATCTCTGGCATCGCTCTTGCCCTGGCGCGCGTCTTCTTCGCGATTGCACTCGTTATTGCGTCGACGGGAAAAGATGACAAGGAGTCTAGAGTTGAGACTTTGCTCAACTCAATCAAACGAGCGTTCACGGCAACTTCCACGCAGTTCGAGTTGATCGATGGACACGCAGTGCGACGAGCTCACGGATGGTTACGCGCACCTCACCGAAGAAACCACCCAGGAGCACCCGAGCGTTGTCCACGCGCGCTCGGAGATTCATCACTTTCTGCAGAAATCGTCATCGCACTGGCAGAGATTGGATCGGCTGTCGTCACACATCGACGCCCTCATGAAACAATGTCAAACCTGCACGTTCGCTCAACTGCGACTCATCTTATGGAACTTCGAAGTGACGGTGTTTGCGTTAAAATTTCTCGACTCCAAATCTTGGCGGACACACCGGGAGAATTGGCGCGCAAATCTTTGCGCCACGAGAACGCCCGCACAGCTGGTAACCTCGGCGTACATCCTTTTATCAAATTTACCGATACTCTAATGACAATCGAAGCGAATAGCTACCGGCACTTCGCTACATACTACGTTCTCTTCCCCACGCCAACTTTCGCTTTCTTTGCAGCGAGTTTGGCTCTCTTCGCCTTTTTCGCCTCCTCTACCTTGAGCCTTTCCTCTTCCTTTTCGCGCAACGCGGCGATCTCCGCAAGCGCTGCGTCTTTCTCGGCAACAATTCTTCGCAGCTCTGCGTCACGCGCTCGCGTTGTCTCGGCTCGTTGTGCGTCCTGCTCTTGCGCTTCGCGAACCCTCCGCTCATCCTCCTCCCGCGCAATATTCCGCCTCTCAATGGCCACTGTCGCGCCTCGAGCGGCGACTTCTCGTCGAAGCGCGTCGCGCGACACTTCACCAAGTCTCTCGATGTCGCTGACGATCGCTCTCACGCGTTCAAACTTCGCACAGAGCGTACTCGGGAGCGCACCATTCGCGTTCTGCGCGTTCACAACGCACCCGCGAAGGAGCAGGCACGCCACGACGTCCTCAAATCCTCCCGCGCAGGCGAGATGAATCGGTCGGTTGGACTGTTCGCCCAAACCTTCCAGAAGAGCGCCGTGGGAGAGCAACGCTTCGACCACTTTTAATTGACCCGTGAAGCACGCTACATGAAGTGACGTATCGCCGTTTGCATTCCTAAGTCGGCAATTTGCTCCGCGCTCCAAAAGGTGTCGAACCATTGTGACGTCTCGCGCCCGTGTCGCAATCATGAGCGCAGCCTCTCCTAATTCGTTCAATACGTCTATGCACTCACCTGTCTTGAGCGCTGAATCAACATCGTCCACGGAACCGCACGCTACGGCTTCCAGGATCGACATCATCACGCGCGAGCCTTCGCTCGTCAGCAAATGAGGTAGACGCGCGTCTATTTTTGGCTCACGTTGCTCGTCACTCTCGCCACTGCTTGAAGTACCCACCACCAATCGCAATCGCGAGATTGAAATGTGCTACGAGCGCGTCTTCTCCGGACACCACCGATAATCTGCCTCGAGCAACGCCCTTCATCGCCGATCGTATTCCCGCCTCTGTGTCTGGATCGAGGGGTAAATCTACGCGTGCGCAGAGCGCGTGAAACCATCTCAACAGCCTAATGATCTCCTCGAAATCTGCATTATCACCGTCGTAATCATACCTGCACAACGCGTGAGAGACGTGACGAAGTAAGTGCGCGCACGTGACGGCATCCATGGCCAAGACCGCTCCGATTGGCGGCTCCACGATTTCCGCGCATAGCTTTTCCCACGCCCTTCGATCTCCGCAACGCGGATACGCCGACGTCCCACTCGCGCCGCTACAGTTTCGTGTCGAAGTCGACGCGAGCATTCGAGAGACATGAATCCTTAAATCACTAAAATCGCCAACCGTTCGTCGTGTCCACTCGCGATTCGGTTTCGCCCAATCCGGCGGCGCAAGTTCTGTCTCTTCGTCCACTTTGGCGGCGTAAACGCCTGCGCTCTGTGTCGAGAACACGCTCGCGTCCAAGTTCTCCGCGCGCATTATATCTGGACTCTGTCTTGCTTCGTAAGCTACGCGCCTGAGGTACTCGAAACCGTCCATCGGAGGTCCACTGGCATAGTCGGGCTCTCCGTCAACCTCTAGTACCTGGCGGCGCAGCCCTTCGTCGTCGACGCTCTCACTCGATTCGCTCTCGTCATCAGCGGTCTGGTCCCGCTCCATGGCGACTGGTTTTCACGAATTTGCAATTCTCTACCAACGCCCCCGACCTGCGATGTGCGTTCGAGCGGCGTCAATCCCTGTCCTTCGACGCGTCGTGGTCAAAAAGCGCGCGCGAGAGAGATGTCCCGCCGTCGTCGTCTCCCTCGCTCAAACGTGCGTCGAGCGTCGAAGCCGACGCCGAAGCGATCGCACGCGATCACCCCGCGTTCTCGCGGTGCGGGGGCCTAATCCCGCGGTCGATGTAGGTGCTCTTCAAGACGCATCGAGACGTGGCTCTTCGCCTCGTGCGTTAGGATTATAGAGCACCGAAAGTCACGCGTTCGCGTTCGCGTTCGCGTTCGTCGTTCGCGCCGCCCGCGCGCCCGCACCGCGTCGTTCGTCGTCGTTCGCGCCCCCACGCGCGCGCGGTGGACCCGCGACGGCGTCTGCGCGCACCCGCACGCGTCGGTCGGTTTTACCCCACGCCCGTGGACCCGCGTCAACCGCTGCGTGACTCTCTCTCGCGCGCTCGACGTCGACCGCGCTCGGGGTCACGACGCGCGGACGACGCCGTGAACGCGCGGGATGGACGATGACGTCGATCGCGAGAACGCCGTGCGCGTCCTGAGCGAGGTCTTACACGTCGATCGCGAACGGGCCGAGGAGAGATTACGTTCGTGTGGATGGAACCTACAGCGAGCGGTCGAGCTCGGATTAGGCGGCGAGAGCGAGGCGAACGACGCACCGGTACCGAACGTCGGAGTGCGGCGACGACGAAACGCGAGGGACGAGGGAGGGACCTCGACGGCGGCGACGACGGCGACGGGGACGGCGCGGCGACGAGGCGACGGAGCGACGAGACGGGAGGGTGGTATCGGGAACCCGCTTTCATTCGTCGCCGCCGTGGGCGTGGGCATCGTCCGCGCGGTGGTGAAACTATCGGTGAGCGCCATCGACGTCGCACTTCGCATCGCGCTCCCGTCGGAGGTGTACGCGCGACTATCGAGTCCGCTCTTGCGTCTCGCGTTCGGAGAGCGCTCGGTGACAGCGGCGACTCACACGCGGCGCCGACGGCAAGTGCGCGGTATCGAAAACGACGACGCGTCGGAGGCTCGAGCCACGGAGTTCAGCGCGTGGTTTTCGGATTCTTTTCACCCGGAAGATCCCACGGTTGGAATCCGCTTCATGCAACTGTCTCACAGAGAAGCGCTGCAGTTCGCTCGTCGTGAGACAAAGTTACTCTTCGTGTACTTACATTCTCCGTTACACCACGAGTCTGAGGTTTTCTGTTCGCAAGTCCTCACCTCGCCGCTCATCGCGGCGTACGTGAACGAGAATTTTGTTGCGTGGGGAGGAAATGTTCTCGACGGAGACGCGCGCGCGTTGGCGAACGGAATTGAACCTGCGTCTTACCCGTTCGTGGCAATCTTGGATTCGGTAAGTGGGAGTGAAACGAGTCTCGTGATGTCGTGCGAGGGATTCACCGACGCTCCAACATTGATTGGGGCGTGTGATGAAGCGCTGAACGTGCAAAACAGCAGCTTGGATAGTGCTCGCGCGCGCGTCGCCGAAGTGGATGCGAGTCGCCGACTGCGAGAAGAACAAGAAGCTGCGTTCGCAGAATCACTCGCGCGTGATGCAGCGCGCGAGAGGGAAGTCGAGGCAAAGCGTGCGCAGGAAGAGGCTGAGTGCGCGCGCGTCGCCGAAGAGGAGAGACTTGCAGCCGAAGCGAAACAAAGAGAGGAGGAAGCTGAACGGGCGCGCCAGGAAGAGATTGAATCACGACGCGTTGAGAAGACGAAACGCCTTCGTGAGGAACCGGAAGAAGGCGCCGAAGGAGTGTCTAAGCTCGCGATTCGTCTGCCCGACGGCTCCAGAGCCGAGCGGAGGTTTCGCGGCTCGGACCCGATTTCCGACGTGTATGACTTTGTCGATACACTGGAGGGTTTAGACGAAGTGCGATACAGCCTGATTACGAACTTTCCGCGGAGAACGTTCGGAAGAGGGGAAAAAGTCTCGCTCGCTGACTGCGGTGTTCACCCGAACGGAGCTCTTTTCGTGGAAACCGAAAAGTGAGTGGCGCACGAAGATGAATGCGTTCTTACATGGGAACCGTTTCGCGCGTTTGCGTTTCATGTACATGCTGTTTCGAAAACTGTCTAATTACTCACTCACTCGATGTAGTCGAATGAATCCAAGTTGATCCCTTCCGACTTGAAAAACTGCTTGACCTGCCCCGAATCCCCCATCTTGCTCTCCACCCACGACTTCATCATGAACACGTTGTCCGTCCACAAATTAGCCGCCTGCTTCGATAGTTTGGCGCCCTCTCGCATGGCCTCCACGGTTTCCGGATTCGAACTCGAAAACGCGCTTAGTTCCGCCTTGAGTCGCTCGTTGATCGCCTTCGCCTCAGTCAACTTTGCGATTAACGCGTCGCGTTCACCGGTTTCTGGATTTTGCTTCTTCACCTTGGCCAGTTCTTTTTCCAGCGCCGCTTTTTCTTGCTCTAATCGCGCCTTGGTCGCTTCCGCGTTTTCCAACGCCATCGTCGCCTTATTCGACGCCTCTCCAGGGAACGACCAGTACCAGTTCATCGTGCCAATCTTATCGACGCGGACCAAGTCGTCGTCGACCAGCGACTGTAAGACATCCTTCACCACATCCGCGCGAACACCTTTCCTCGCCGCCTCTTTTTCGAGCGGTTTCAGTAACCACGGTTCGCTCGATTCGTGAAACACCGCCAGCACGTTCTGGCGCTTGTCCTGCGCGACGTCAAACCGCGAAAGGTGAGTTCAGATTCGAAATCGAGGCACTCCTCATCTCGCGCGCCCTCTCTCCCCGTCCTCGCCGCGCCGCGTTCGAACGCGCACCTCGGCGGACATTCCCTTGACCATTCTCACCCGCGTCCGCGCGCGTCGATCGTCCTCGCCGCGCCGTCGGTGCGCGCGTCGCGCTTCGACGCGGACGCGCGCGTCGCCGCGCCCGTGGCCCCGTGGCCCGTCGCCACGAGACACACACACCCGCGTGTGAGGGAACATCCACCCCCGTCGAGGTGCCCACGCGTCGACGCACAAACGCGCGCGTCGCGTGCGAGCGACGATGTCGTTCGCGACGACGACGGGCGCGCGCGCGTCGACGCGAGCTCCATCGCGCGCGTCGTCGGCGTCGTCGGCGTCGTCGGCGTCGGCGTCACGGCGTCGTCCACGACGGCGTCGTCCGTCGACGCATCGTGGACGACGCGAGACGTCGTCTTCGACTAACACGTTCGCGGTGTCGTCCGAGGACGTGTCGTTCGATGAAACGACGACGACGACGACGTCTCGGGCGATGATGTCACTCGCGAGGACGACGTCGACGGCGTCGAGACCGCAGGAGGCGGATTTATTCGCCAAGTACGCGCTGAGCCATTGCGAAGCCGTCGCGAGAGCGGTCGGGGAGAGCGACGACGACGACGGCTTGGACGCGAGGGCGATGATTTATCTCCGAGGACCGACGCAAGGCTCGTCAAAGATGCGTTTGACTCGAATCGCGTCGTGGCCGCCCAAGCCATCGAACGCGCAGACTGGGTCAAACTTTTCTGGAGACTGGGACGTGACGGAGGAGGAAGAGGCGAGCGCCATTGACTGGGACGCGCCGGAGGAAACTTTAGCGGCGCAGAAGACGTTCGAATTACCCTCGGCGAACGCCGTTGTGGCGTGCTTATGCTTTGAGGAATCACTCGTCGGGATAATCGTCGTCGAGCGTACTTCGCGCGCGGCGGACGTCGCGGAAGCGTTCTCGTCGAAACAAAAACAGTTCTTGGAGAGCGCGGCGAACGCCTTCACCGACGCGTGGGCCATTCATCGGAATAACGTCCTCGCCGCCGCGGCGGCATATCGTGCGGACCAAAAACTCGGTGTTTACCTGTACGAGAGTCGTCAACCGCTCAACGCGTTGCGCACGCTCGGCGGCATGCTCAAGATTCATTTGAAGCCCGACGATCCGGCTGGCGACATGGCGGAGGCCATGGTACAGCAAGGCGACGCGCTCGCCGAGCTCAGTCGTCAGTTAGAGAGCGTACTCTACCCGAACGCAACGACGAAAATTGAGGGGGTATCATATCGCGGCGGAGGCGCGCAGCAAAGTGAACGAAAACGAGAGCCGCTGTTGCTCACCGATGACAACGCGCTGAGCGCACGAGAAGTTTCCGTCGGCGCGATGAAGGACGACATGTGCGACATCACTAAGGTTCTAGTCACGCTACTGGCCACCTCGGACGTCGTCGCGACGAGCGGTGGCTTGACGGTTCGTGCGACGCTCCCGGAAGGAGACGCACCCGCCATCGTGAGCGCGTCTCCATTGGACGTGCGATCCGCGCTCGCAGAGATCATCGACGTCGCGCTCGTCGTCTCCCCACCAGGATCGACTATTGACGTGCTCGTTGACGATTCACCGCGGGCACAAACGAACGTCGTGGACGTCGCGCTCAACGTGGATGCGTCCAACGTGTCTGGCTTTGTGCGCGCAGAGGAAAACGCGCAGGCGGGGATGCGCATCGCGAGGCGGCTCGTCGAAAAAGTCGGTGGGCGCTTCGCGGTCGACAACGACGAGAGTGGAAACTATCTCACGATTCGAGTGCGATATCCGGTTCGTTTACCGGTATAGTGAACAAAGGTAGAAGGATGAGCTCCGAATGACGCGACGACGGCTATCGGCGATGCCCAACGTCACGATGGGCGGTCGCGTCGCGGAAGAGCTGATCATCGGCTCGGATGAAATCACGTTGTAGTGTATAGGTACAAGTATGATTCTTACAAAACATTTTCGAAAATAGTCGACGATCGACGTCTACTACGAAGAACTCGAATCGGGGTGTATCCGAAGCTCGGTCATCTCCCAGTCATCTCCCGAACCACCAAGCGCCTTTAGCGCGCCCTCTACGCCACGAAGCGCGCTGTAAAGAAGGTCTTGGGCGTCGACTTTGTCCCAGTCTTGGAAGCTTTTGCACGCACAAAATTGCTTCTCAGGTCCCCATTCAGGTTGCCATTTTGGTACGTTAAACTGACCGTGAACATCAATCGAAACAAGTCCACCAACACTCAGGCAACTGCCATCGCAGCCTGTGACACCCACAGGATGAACAATGAAGTTAATTTCACTTTTACCTCTAGGACCTCTGCTTGAGTGGAGAACATACTGGGATGGACAGGACCCATAATTCCCACGAAACCCAGTAAGGGTGAGCCTCGCCTGTTCCCTTTTCGCCTCGTAGCAGCGCAACGCATCGCTCAACTCCTCGAGGTTGCGTTCCAAAGATGCACCAGTCCTTTTTCTTTTGTGCTGCTGGAGTTTTTCAGAGGCATGCTCTTTTATGCCGGCAATTTTATCGGACAATCCTCTTAAATCTGCGATGACCGCATCAACATCGGCGCAACACGCGTTCAACGAACTGTCTGCCTCTTTTAATTTCGCACGAGCGTCCTCGACCTGCTGCGGGATAACCGACCGTCGCGTTTCAGAGATGTTCTCGTCTTGTAGCTGAGCTTCCAAAACTCGAATATCTTCGTCGATGCGCTCTACTTTGCGAAGATAACTCGCCCGTAAGAGGCGTTTGAACGCCTCGAGGCCGTCGGGCGTCGGCTTGTCGTACTCGTCTCGTACTCGGGCGAATTTCACGTATAATCGGTCCTTGAAAAATGGTTTGCTCTTGAACGAGCGCTCGAGATCATCTTCTGCTGTTTTGACCGCCTCTTCTTCCGCCGTGCCACTCATCCAGTCCGGTTGAAGCGACGGGTTTAACGAGTACGTTCTCCATGCCGGTGACGCGTGCGCGACTGCATCGGTCATCGCGTGCGTCGACAAATGCCTGTTTGAACCGAGGATACTCGGTCGCTCGACCTCCCCTCGCGCCCGTCGCTCGACCTCCGGTACTCACCGACGAGTGCCTTCTTGTAACGTGTAATCGAAAGGTGTAATCGTAAGGTGTAATCGACCGAGTGGTCGTTACGACGAACGTCACTGGCCGACGCACCGCGTCGCCGCGCGCGACGCCATGGCGTCGGACGACCGCACGGTCGATGTGGTGGCCGAGACAGAGCGCGCGCACGCGTTTTGCGGCGACGACGACGACGGCGGCGGCGACGATGCCTTGGGACGACTGAGACGAGACTTGAGACGCGAGCACGGCGCGATGTATGAGAGGATGCGATCGATGTTGGACGAGGACGCGCGCGAGGCGAGGACGAGAAAACGTCTTCGGCGCGCGTTGGTCGAGGAGTTTCCGGAGTTTGATGCGTACGCGATCGATGTGGCGGTGGCGTGGGACGACGCGCGTTGCGCGACGTTGGCGCGCGTTCTCGTCGAGACGCCGACGGCCGAGGTTCCTTTCGGTGACGAGAAGACACCGGTGGTTCGAGCGGCGGAGAAGGGGCTAAAGGAGCGTCTGAAGTTCTTGCACGAGCACGGGTATGCATGGGATGCGGAGACGTGCATGTACGCCGCTGAGAACGGTCATTTGGAGTGCTTGAAGTTCGCACACGAGCACGGATGTGCGTGGGATGAAAGGACGTGCATGTACGCCGCCAGGAGCGGGCAGTTGGAGTGTTTGAAGTACGCACACGAGCGCGGGTGTGCGTGGAATGAAGAGACGTGTGATTACGCCGCTGGGAACGGTCATTTGGAGTGTTTGAAGTACGCACACGAGCACGGGTGTGCGTGGGATGAAGAGACGTGCACGTGGGCCGCCGGACGCGGGCAGTTTGAGTGTTTGAAGTACGCACACGAGCACGGATGTGCGTGGAATAAAGAGACGTGCAAGTGCGCCGCCGGGAGCGGCCATTTGGAGTGCTTGAAGTACGCACACGAGCACGGGTGTGCGTGGAATGAAGAGACGTGCTCACGGGCTGCCAATAACGGTCATTTGGAGTGTTTGAAGTACGCACACGAGCACGGGTGTGCGTGGGATGAAGTGACGTGTGATTACGCCGCTGGGAACGGTCATTTGGAGTGTTTGAAGTACGCACACGAGCACGGGTGTGCGTGGGATGAAAGGACGTGTGCGTCCGCCGCTGGGAGCGGTCATTTGGAGTGTTTGAAGTACGCACACGAACATGGATGTGCGTGGAATAAAGAGACGTGCAAGTGCGCCGCCGGGAGCGGCCATTTGGAGTGCTTGAAGTACGCACACGAGCACGGGTGTGCGTGGAATGAAGAGACGTGCACGTGGGCCGCCGGACGCGGGCAGTTTGAGTGTTTGAAGTACGCACACGAGCACGGATGTGCGTGGGATGAGACGTGCAGCCGCGCCGCCGAAAGTGTACGCCGAGGGAGAGAAAACCGAGTGGAGGATTGTTGGAACTGTTTATCGTACGTGATCGATCACCAATGCCCCGGATACGAGACATCCATCACATTGTTGCGCCTCGAACGCGATGCGCAAGCCGCTGAGACAAGCTTCATCGTCAATCTCGCACTCTCGCATGCGCGAAACGGCTACATCCCAGAGCGCGAGTACGCCGAGCCCAAAGCCGAGCTCGAACGCGCGCGCGCAAAAATAAACAACATGATAGCCCAACTCTGGGCAGATGACTGATGCGGGCAGCTTCAACCCATCATTGAGGGCGCGGAGAACGGCGGAGATAGAGACTGGATGGCTGTAGATTGTGGATCATGCATGGTGCACGTTTTCTCCCCGAGAGCGGTACAACCTGGAAGAGCTGTGGGCCGATGGAACGGAAATCGTTCACAACGCGCCAGAAACGTTGACACTTGCGAACATCGGCAGCGAGGACGCGACGCATCACACAGCGTGATTTATTATCGCCGCATGTTGTACATTGTAAGAATATTCGCCTGACGAATTACAATAGTTTCCTATTCAATGACATCTACGGGAGGGATTTGCATCGCTCGCTCCGTCATCTGTGCGCGTCCCGTCATTCGCGGTACGGACTTTTTTTCTGTTCTCGCTCACATCATTTTTTGAGGAGGTGTGTCATTGTGTCTGTCTCTTTTCGTGGTGGTGTTGCTCTGGTGTAGGGTCTTGTTGTATGTTCTAGACCCTAATTCTAGGGGAATTGGGTTCGAGGTTTAGGGTTCTAGGGTTGAGGGTTTAGGGATTAGGATTTAGAGGTTTAGGGATTAGGATTTAGTGGTTTAGGGATTAGGATTTAGAGGTTTAGGGATTAGGATTTAGGATTTGGGTTTGGGTTTAAGGTTTAGGATTTGGGTTTAGGATTTGGGTTTAAGGTTTAGGATTTGGTTTAGGATTTGGGTTTTGATTTTATTCTTAGGGGTTTTGATTTCATTTACACAGGTTTTGATTTCATTTACACAGGTTTTGATTTTATTATCAAGGGTTTTGATTTCATTTACATGGGTTTTGGTTTTATTTACAAGGGTTTTGATTCTCCATTTTAGGGTTTAGGGTTCTAGGGTTTAGGGTTTAGGGTTTAGGGTTTAGGGTTTAGGGTTTAGGGTTTAGGGTTTAGGGTTTAGGGTTTAGGGTTTAGGG